GCTTCTCCGTATGGAGAGTGATAGCAGAAATTTTGCTTCTTCAAGACACTCTGTCAGCCACCACCAGCCCTGCCTCTACCCAAGAACAGTAACCCATCGCCATTCACTCTTTCTCCACTGTCCTATGCCATGTTTCTCTGGGTCTTCTTCAGTTGCGTTTTCCTTCCAGTGCTCATGTCAGTGCAACTCATGTCTGATCCATGTCCATCTCCTCCTTAATGTTCACTGATAGTTTCCTTGTTAGCTCTCTTGCGCACCTCTTCATTTGACACTTGCAAAGCCTACACAGGCACTTGTGCTGGAAAGTTCTATTTTGGCTTCATCTCCCTTTGTCATCCTCCATGATTCACATCCATACATATACAGCATTACAGCTATTGCATTGGACTTGAATATCCTTATCTCAGTACTCTTACCTAGTTGGCTGCTTCTCCAGATATTCATCAGTTTACCAAATGTTGCTCTTGCTTCACCCAGCCTCATATGATATATGTCATCGTCTGCTCCACCAGAGGTAGTAACTTTGGCTCCCAAATAGACAAAACTGTCTACGTCTTCAAGTTCTTCAATCTCCATTTTCCATACCTTTCTGGTCATTTTCAGTGCTGCACCTCGTAACTTTCCTTTTGGCAATGTTAATCTTTAGACCCATTCCTTGGCTGGTATTAAATAAGCAATTGTTCTTCACATAGGTGTACGGCACCTTCAGACTTGGGGTGGGGGTGACCTTATTGCCCGAAAAAATTACACAATGTCCAAAAGCGTGTGTTGTACAAACCCACTGAAATCACATTAACAACAAAAACGTTCACAATTCTCACGTCTAATGAAACTATTATCATTCAAAAGTACAGTGGAATTCCGATTTTTTGAACCTTCAAGGGAAACGAAAATCGGCTTGAAAAATCTGATAGTTCGAATCTGGGGTAAAATTACAGTGTTTGACTGAGGACAGGAAAACGACTTTTGTTTCGAGTTATTGAGAGGTTCGAAAAATGAGGGTTCAAGGAAGCGGGATTCCACTGTAGTTATTTTGAAACATGGCATACCTCGATCAACAGCTTGGTAAAATCAGAAACTAATAAAGGAACAGTTCATTGTTCCTCATATGAGAAGTTCAAGGAAATTTTAAAACAGCTCTTTGTGGAGCCATTCCAAAGGGCTCTTTTCAGAGCCACCACAAAAGCAAAAGTCTTGGTCTTTGTTTGCTTTGATTCTTTTGTCATTGTTTTGTTGATGGAACTAAAATCCATCTCGTGGATTTCCACTATGCACATTTAAATGGTCTATGGCTTTTTCAGTGAACAGATTTCCTGGATCCTTAGATAATTTGACCTTGACTCCGTTTTGACAAGGCAAATGTCAGAGGAATTAGCCCACAAGCCTGGCTTTGACTACCTTTTAGAGTATTTTCTCCCGAGTACTTTTGCCCGAATCCTCAGTATTTTTCCCAAAAAATTGCACCAATTTTTGTAACTGGGGGGGCTGCAGTCCTCCCCCCCACCCCCCCGCCCGTACGCCTATGGTTCTTCAACTGGAGCTGCCTTCTTGTACTTGATAATAGTGCAAGATCATCAGCAAAATCGAGGTCTTCTAACTTCTGAGTAAACCTCCACCTTATCCCAGTATTTCCTTCCTCAAGCACCTTCCTCTTCACCGAATCAATGACAAGCAAAACAAGAAAATTAAAGAAATCCTGACATTATGCCACCTTGCTGGAAAGCTGACTTATTGTCAAACCAGTCAGCCTTTCCTCCCCCATCGACTAATGCACACTGGCTTCCTCTGTGCATTGCCTGTACTGTCCTAATAATTTTGGGTGGAATACCATGTATTAACCTCATGATCCTCCACAAGGTCTCCCTGTGGACACTGTGGAAAGCTTTTTCATAGTCAATGAGGCAAGTAATTATACAGGCTTGCATTCCATTTAACTGACTGCTCAATAATGTTTCTTAAAACAAATATCTATATCTATAGTTTTTTAATCAACTCCTCTGGATGTTAATTCTCTGCTGCTGCTAATCACCTTAGCAGCAGCAGGCATCAATGTAATTCCTCTCCAGTTGCCACAGTTGGTCAGATCTCCCTTCTTGGGCAGTTTAACTATGAGACCTTTACTGCAATCTTCTGGTATTCCCTCTTCTTCCCAGATTAATCTAAAGGTATCATGCAAGGCATTGACTGTCGTATCAATATTAGCTTTCATCATCTCTACTGTAATGTTGTCAATACCAGTTGCTTTACCATTTTTCATGTCCTTGATCGCATTCTTGATTTCTAGCTTAGTGACTGGTTCGTCTTCAATCTCTTCACTGTTGTGATCATCATCATCATCATCATCATCCATGATCTTGACTGTATTTACTGGGTCAGGTCTATTTAAAACCTCCATGAGGTGTTCTTGCCATCTTTTGTGTACCTCATGTGCTTTGGTTATTAATAATTTACCTCGATCCCTTACTCTTTACCATGTCAACTAGTTTCGGCCTGGGCATTGCACAATTTTCTTGTAGCCTCATAGACTCCCTTCCTTTGTCCGTGCCTTGCTGCATCTTCTGCTTCCTGAGCGATATTATTTGCCCATCCTCTCTTATCATTCCTGAAACTGCATGGACTTTATGTCTTTGTTTAACCTTTGGTACTCTGCTTTCTTCTGTGCCTTTTGCCTGCTTGATTTTACGTCATTGACCTTTCCCTTCATTGCTCTTCTATCCTCAACCTTCTTCCAGCTGTTCACACTAATCCAGTTCTTTCCCTTCTTGTTTTTGTGACATAAGGTTGTCTTTGCTGTACTGTTAATAAAAACTGTTTTAAAACTCCCCCATTTCTCCTCTATTGTTAACTGTATGTTTTCTACGCTTTCATTCCTATTAACTGTTGATTGCTCATGATCGCTACATCATCCATGAGGCAACTGAACCTATTTCCCAGGTCAAGTTGGTATTCTCATCTCACAGCAGGTATTGTCAACTTGCTACATTCATACCTACTGGTAACAGCTGCTACTGCAATGAGTGAATGGCTCTCCTAGTGACTCTACAAAGCTTAAGTTGATAACAGCGACCACTAAATTGTGGTCACTTGAGATATCAGTGCCTCTGTATGACCTGGTGTCAGAGACTGATTCTTTGAACCTTGAATTCACTACCATGTGGTCAGTCTGGATTACGGGTTTGACCATCAGGTACTTACGGATATCCTGATGTGAGAATGCAGTTGATGTGATAGCCATGAGGCTATTTGTGGCACAGAATACGACAAAATCTTTCTCCATTATCATTCCTGACACATTTCAGGGCTTAATTTCTTTTCCCATTACTCTCTTCTTACTCTCTTGCCTCTCTTCTACTTTAGCATTCCATGCAGTCACCCATTATTATCAAAATGTCATGCTTTGGTACACCGTCTGTGACTTTCTGCAGTTGGTTGTAGAAATCTTTGGCTTCCTCTTCTGCATCATTGGTTGACTGCATATGCCTGTATGATGTTGTCTTGATATACTGAGAGTAATCAAAGTGGTTGTGAGCCAATGAACCTGGAAAATAAATTATGAAAGGGTGTTACGAGGCACTGTTCATTAAGGAACTACTTGTG